TGTAATTTTAGATTGCTTGCTTCTAGTTAAAAGATCTTTATAAATTTTTTTATATGGAGCTAAGCACTTATGAAGAATAAAGGAAGTATGGAATAAGGGAAAAACATCTGGCAACATCAGAAGCAGAAGCGTCGAGATCTGGCAACATTGAAACAAGTTTTGAGAAGGACCATGTGTATCGACAGAAGGCGAGAAAAGAAAATTTACATACTTAAGTACTAATAGTTCACAAAAATAATAATTTTCATGAACTATTATTACTTAAGTATGTAAAAATTTATTACATTTCATGTTGTACAAGGGTTTTACCCAATTCTCGAACCGTGTCAGAGTGAATCCGTGCTATAGAAGTGCCATGTTATACGGGGGTTACCTGTATATACATACACATACACACACGCACACACACACACACTTCCATGTAATGTAATGCTCACTTTATGTTACTTTTGCATATTGTTATTCCATTTTCTGTAAGAAAATATTAGTTCATATGTAACATTTCATGTCACTTTATTTGACTAATAAAGAATAGGTGCTATGGTTAGAGAAATTTTCTTGTTCACAGTATTGTGACATTAGGGATTTTCATTCCCCTTATTGTTATTAATGTGTCAAAAAAGTGTATTTTCTATTAAAATTAAAATCTAACTTTGAAACTTTGAACTTTAAACTAAAAACAAACTTGAGGCAGGTTTGTGAAGTGACCTGAAAATGTTTGTTGGAAGAGCAAAGCAGTTCTGGAATATGAGTTAAGATATTGTTATTACTGTGCTGAAATTTGTTTCAGCTTAGATATTTTAATTTAATGGTTTTCTGAACTTTGAGGTAAAAATTGCAATTAGGGTTTATGAATTTTTCTAAGGTATTTTATATTTTAATTAGTGTTTTTAGGAACTTCTCAAACTTTTAGGGAAGAACCAACGGTATAGATTGTTGGTATAGATGAAGAGCTTAGAAGAGAATATGCTTACAAATAATTTTGTCTAAGATGTCATAAATATATTGCTTATTCTGTTTAACTTTTAAATTTTTATTTTATTACAGTCTTATTTATTACTTTATATTATTATTGTTTTTTCTATCATAGCATAATTTATAGAATAACATAAGGTTATAGAAGATTTAAAAAGTAACTAGCAGTACTAGTATTATACTAGTAGACAGCTGAACTTTTATACCAATTAGCCAATTTACATATCAACCTCACACAAAATTTTGCACCAATTAATAATATTATGTGGAGTTCATATTCTTTGTAAATAAAAATAAATGTATTTATACTTATAAATGTGTTGATTTGTATTTATATAATACTAGCTTACCCATCACGCATTGCTGCGATCTCAGAAGAAAGGAAATTCAAGCAAACTCATTATGATAAAATTCAATTTACATTTTATCATTTTTATTGAAACTTATTATTATTATTCATTTTCATCGGGAAAACATTTCAAAGTGTCGTTTCAATTCTATTTATTTATTGGAGTGCTTGTGGATACACGATATTTTTTGTTTTTCCGTCTGGTGCGTACACGAATAAATCGGAAGGTTTTCCGACGCGTGAGCCGGCCACATACAGTTGTCCATGCGAGAAGCACGGATTCTCCAAATTTAGCCCACACACTCGCAGCGATTGTCAGAAGTGCGATATTCCCCATTTATATATATATTTTTTAATCCTTTATAATTTTAATTATTTAATTGCTCCTTCCTCTCTTCCTTGGCATGTTGTGAAATTTCTGATAGTTGGATAATAAACCGTTTTATTGTAATTTGTCTTTTTAAATTATTTTGAGTCGATATTAAAATTTGGAAAAGGGGGGATACCTAGATCGGTAAAATACGCGAATTTCCTCCTACAACTTCGGTTGTTGTTCGGGGTACAGTTAAGGTTTTAACGAAGTTCGAGCGAATACATAATTAGCAAAAAAAAAAGTTGAAATAAAGTGATTAAACAAAAATTATTACAAATATCGTAAATAACAGTTCACAAATGCATATATAGAGATATTTTTTGAAGGGGGAAATGGTCTTCACAATTTGAAATCGATCGAACACACTGTGCTCCAATGCTCATGTAAACGCACGCCATCTATCGTAGGATAAATGTCAAAAACCTTCACGGGAGTGTATTAAAAAACTTTCCGAAGTTTTATGGCAATCGTACTATGCCACAAACCTTCACCGGAGTATATTAAACAACTTCCCAAAGTTTCACGGCAATCGGATAAACAGTGTGGTAATGCATGAAGGACAGACAGACACACACACACACACACACACACACATTCATTAATATTATATATAGATTGTACATGACTGAAATTAATTTTTTAAATCAAAATCAATGGCAATCAAAACAGTTTAGAAAATATTAGGGCTGTTGTGTGCAGCATACCCTCCTGCAACAGCACTGTTAAACAATGCAGTACCACCTCCAAGACCATCTACCACTCAGAGAACAGTTCTGCTTATTTGCTTGCTGTTGCATCTCATGATATAATGAAATGCTTGAGACAGTACTATACTTTTTAACAGTGCTGTCATAAAAGAGCATGTGACAAAAATTATTATAGTTACAGAGCAAGATATACAGTAGTCTGAATCCTGTAAATGTTAATATGAAAACAACAAAAATTTTAAATCTTAAAATTAGTTAATTAAATTTTTATGAATGCAATGTATTTTAAGTAGTTTGTTATGTAAAAATATAGTTATGTATTTGGGGATTTATAATATGAACTGCCATATTACAGAATCACAAGCCATCATTGCTGTTTGGCATTCATACAGAACAATTTTAAACTTTTGGATTCTTCATTTTTTTAAAAACACATGCATTTGTGTTAAAATCAAGATCAAGTGCACATTTTTTCTATACTTTCCTTTTTGTTAATTGTAATACCATCAGATCACACTTTTCAACTATTATTTTTGAATAAATCAGCAAAAACATTATTCTCTACATTATAAAATTTGGCTTCTTGTTTGGTTCAATTTTAGTTCAGTCAAACTATATGTCTTGAAATAGTCACACAAAACATTTGACATCAAGAGCTATGACAAAATTATTAAGGAACCGGAGGGACGTATCTCAATCACCGGTGCTGCTGGGGACTTCACTTGTGACTATAATTCTAAAATTACCAATTTGATTAACATGTTTTTTTGTTCATTAAAGAAGACTAACAGCTGGATAATTAACCTTAACAAGAAAACTTCAATATTAATGGAAATGCAACATTCTCCAATAAAGCAGGGAAGACCACCACTCAACAGAACCAAATCACTAAGTGCAACAACTTCACAGCAACAAGTTCCAAGCTA